CTGTTTCCTCTTTCCTTCTCCCTTCCCTGGCCAGCTTTTAAAACGAAAAAAGAAAGTGTATGTTTTTTATTTATCTCAGAGAGGGAGAAGGAGAGAGAGATAGGAACATCAATGATGAGAGAGAATCATTGATCAACTGCCTCCTACACGCCCCCTACTGAGGATGGAGTCCACAGCCCGAGCACGGGCCCTGTCGGTGATTCGAAATGTGACTTCCTGGTTCATAGGCCATGCCCAACCACTAAGCCACACTGGCTGAGCTTCCCTGGCCATCTTAACACTAACTCCCCATCCTCTTTGGGTGGTCCCGCCCGAGGGACCTGCTGCTCTTCTGCGAGATGGGAGCTCCCTCCGTGATGATAAGTAAGTCACTCCTTTATCCACTGTTACCGCTTCTCAGAAATTATCTTGGTCCCTCACGCTTCTGTTTTCTCTAGACGACACCCAGGTGTTTATTGCAAGCTACCTCTTCCTCAGTGCGAACATTTAATAACGTTCCATACAGAAAATGTGGTCCATCCGTCCCCCCCCCCACTCTCTCTCTGGCATTCTCTGCGGTCTGCATTCAGGTGTTTTCATATATGAAGAGTCTTTAAAAATTATTTATCACATATTGCAGCCTTCAGACATCTGTGCACTTGTCTCCCTCAGGAGTTGAGCTGCTAAACCTTCCTCTGTGTTATCCGCAAGCCACACACTCTGAGGATTAGAGCTGATTTTCTAATCTCATTTAAATAAAAACTCTGGTATTACTTCCCACGGGAGAATAAAGGACAGTGGTTTCCACAGAAAAAAAGATATGAAAACACATTTGCCACAAACATGTGCAATCCTTGGCATGTGGTTTCTGGGGGGAAATGTATGTAAAATGCTGATGAGTGAAATGAACACCAAAAATTAGAGCCAGTTAGTTAGTTAATCCTCACCTGAGGATATATTTTTCCATTGTTTTTCTAAAGAGAGTAGAAGGGAGGTAGGGAGGGGAAGAGAGAAAAAGAAAGAGAAAGAGAGAGAGACACCAATGCAAGAGAAACACCAACACATCAATTGGTTGCCTCCCACTCATGCTCTGAACGGGGTGGGAACCTGCAGCCCAGGTACATGCCCTGGACCTGGAATCGAACCCTTGACCCTGCAGTGCATGGGCCAACGCGCTCACCGCTGAGCAACAGGGCAAGGCGAGCCATTTCCTTTTTTAGTCCACACATCACATGTCAGTGGGCCACATGCAAAGCCGCTGTGAGACGCCTCGGGGCCTGGGTGTTAATTCCCATCCGCATACCCATCACTTGCTCATCCAACTGTATCCTCCGTTGCTACTGCACAGAGCGTGGGGGGCGAGCCCAGGTGGACCCGCCCAGCCGTTCCCGAACCACTCAGCGGTTCCGCTTCCTCACAGAGATGTTCCCATGTCGTCTCCGTGTCCACCGCACCCTCTGCTCCTCACGGGGAGGGAAGGCAGAGGAGTGAGAGCCTCGTAAGCGGGGGGCGGGGGGGAGGCGGCTCTTCACACCTGCATAGTAACATGCATGGGCTCACATATTCCCTGAAGAGCGTAAGTTCACTCGGAAAAGAGTTTCCTCTGCCTCCCGTGTGTGGAGCAAGACGGGGGAGTGCTCTTTTCCATGGCCCCCCCTGAATCGGCGGAAGCGCTTGGTCCCGGGTCCTGAGCATGGGGCTCTGGAGAGAGACGGGGTGGCTGGTGACCTGGCCGGGCCCTCGCTGCGGGAAGAGCCTCTCGGAGCCCCGGCTAAGTCGCCTGCAGGCTGGGGATGGGAGGCGATTAGATCTGCAGGAAAAGACTTGGCGCGGCCTGACCTCAGCCCATGTGGCGAGTCCAGCTGTTGTTGCCGCTGGCGCTGTGGCCCCGGTGCCAGAGCCGCGTGGGCACCTGTTCTGCGCCCCCAGGCGCGTCCCTGCTGAGCACCCCCAGTACCGAGGCTGCGGGGACCAAGCGACTCTCAGTTTAAAAATGTGTGGGAGTCGCTGGGGAAGGCCTGGCCTGCTGTACCAGCTTCCAGAAACACCCGCTCACACACGGCGTTCTGTGATCGGGGACTGTGAGGAGCGGTGGGGAGTTACAGCTGCAGGGACCGCCTTTGGGCAGGCGGCCTTTCCCTGAGCCTGTGCCTGGCTCCGGTGTCCAGGCATTAGCACGTGCAGCCCTCTCTGGAGCCCCTGGCTCGTTGGAGCCCTTTTTAAATAGGATGATGGGCATGTAATTGGGCACGGCGTCCGGCCTCCCTCAGTGAGCGGGACAATTAGACGTTGAGCAGCAACCTTGTAACCTGAAACGTCTGTGGGCAGGCGGCCTTTCCCTGAGCCTGTGCCTGGCTCCGGTGTCCAGGCATTAGCACGTGCAGCCCTCTCTGGAGCCCCTGGCTCGTTGGAGCCCTTTTTAAATAGGATGATGGGCATGTAATTGGGCACGGCGTCCGGCCTCCCTCAGTGAGCGGGACAATTAGACGTTGAGCAGCAACCTTGTAACCTGAAACGTCTGTTTTTCAAATATTTTTTAAAATATGTTTTTATTGATTTTTTTTTTATATATAGAGAGAGAGAGGACGGGAGAGAGAGAGAGAGAGAAACATCATTGGTCAGCTGCCTCTTACATGCCCCCTACTAGGGATTAAGCCCACAACCCGGTCATGTGCCCTGACCGGGAATTGATCCGGGACCTCTTGGTGCACGGGCCGATGCTCAACCACTGAGCCACACCAGCCAGGCTTCACATATTATCTCATGTAATCTTTCCCCATCCGTCTTATTTTAGAACAAAGCACACGTATTCTCGTTCAGGAGGGAAGAAAGCCCTGCCCAAGGTCAGCAGCAGGCCCAGAACCTGGCAGAGAGGATTTTGAGACAGATCTGTCCTAATGCGTCTCCCTGGTCCCTGTGTAGGTAGGCTCTGCCATCTGGAATCTATTTCAATTAACTGAGAAATGTGTCTAAATATTTCCTCAAATACCAGATTAATGTGATAGATTATGGTGACCCACATCTTGTAGAACAGCGTGGATTTAAAACTTAAAACGGAAGAATCTGGAATCCATGTTTTAAGCTCAACAGGACTGTTCGAAATCATGGCCCAGCCCAGCCGGCGTGGCTCAGTGGCTGAGCATCAACCTATGATCCAGGAGGTCACGGTTCGATTCCAGGTCAGGGCACAGGCCCGGGTTGCGAGCTCCATCCCCAGTGTGGGGTGTCCAGGAGGCAGCCGATTGACGATTCTCTCTCATCATTGATGTTTCTCTCTCTTTCTCTCCCTCTCCCTGCCTCTCTGAAATCAATAAAAACATATTTTTAAAAGTCATGGCAGATATTTCTTATTTTCTCCCCCGTTTTTCAGTGCTTTTCCCCCAGTCAGCACCATGGTGGATTTTTGCCCGGATAAGACGTGGTCTCTGTTATCTCGCAGCTCCTCAAGTTTCATGCGACTCTGGAGATTGGAGGGATATCTGTGCAGAAGCAGATAACTTGTTCGAAGACCCCGAGTGCGGAAATGACAATTCAGACATATTCAGTGTCACTCAGGGATAATGGTTTACACGATTCACGCTGTAACCACGTTTTTAAAATCCCTGGTT